CCTGTAGGGAGGGGGACTCTCCCTCCAAGCAATAACCGCCTCCCCGCCCGCCTTCCTGTCCCCCACGCCAGAAGTCGCGTCGAGCAAGGTTAGCGGTCTCTTTCTTTGTACTGTATTTTGTTTCATATTTTTGTGGTTTAAAAAAAAAATACATATGATTCAGAACGGATTAACCAATTACATTGAATCTTATGGGAAAATTTGATTTGGGACGCGACCAAAATCGGGTCGCGACCAAATTCGGAGGGTCAGAATGGATTACCTGTATTTACATTGAACCTTATGGGAAAATTTGATTTGGGTTGCAACCAATTTGGGTCGCGACCAGAGTTGCGGAACGAATTAAGTTCATGAACCGAGGTACTACTGTACTTTATTGCTGATGTAGGATAGATAATTGAGAAAACCAAAGAACACCCAAAAGAAGTCAATATATGCTTCACTGACAATAGAAAGACCTTTAATTATATCAACCATGTAAACCTGTGAAATGTCTTTAAGAAAATGGTAATTTCAGAACATCTCATTGTCCTCATGCAAAACTGTACAGAGAATAGGAAGCCATAATCTGGACAAAATGTGGTGAAACACCTTATTTATTCAATCTATATGTTGAGTATATATTGAGGGAAGCTGGATTGGAAGAAAATTAGCAGGTTTTAAACTTGTAAGAAGAAAAATCCACAACTTGCCCTAAACTGATGACGCTACTATGATAGCTGAAAATGCAAATAACTTGCAAGCTCTAGGAATGAAAGTCAAAGAGCGCAGTGAAAAAAGGGGGCTACAATTAAATATAAGGAAGAACAGGCTAATAATAGCAGGTATGACAATCAGCCTTAGAATAAAGATACTGAAGTGGTGGATAGCTTCTGCCTTTTAGGATCAACCATCAACAGTACAGGAACCCAGTCAAGAAATATGCCATGGACTATCATTTCATAGGGTAACAGTGAAGCCCTTGGAAAAGATACTCAGATGCGGTGATGTTTCTACAGTATATCTATGAAGATTACAGTTGTGTAGACAATTGTTTTCTCTGTGACACTCTGTGGA